GCATGTCGTCAGCAGATGGCTTCCACGCAAAATGCCTACCAATGTCCATGGAATGCGCTTTGCTCAGCCATGTCGAAAGGTAAATCTCAGCAGCACGGGGACCGAAAGCATGCAAATCTAAGTTGAGGCTCCTGTACTTATTGCATTTATGCCCGTGAACTGGGCAGAAGACGCGGAGCCCCCTGCCCCCTCTCCAATGCACTTCCTCTCTGATCGGGCAGCCCATGATGTCGGCTGGTACAATAGGCGCTCCTGCCATGCCAACTGGACCGTCCACCGACTCAGGATCCGAACCATCAGAATCTGGAGGAAGCAGTCCTGAGAGGCATTAGTGCCAACACCCCCGAGACGCCGCCTGGGGGGGGGTCAGAAGAGGGGTGGGGCCGAACATCGAAAACACAATCACTACCGACTTACACCATGCTGAGTGGGAACTTGATCTAATCTCCCGTTCGTGCCTTATCCATCCTCCCCCCATGCATCCATTCCCCCGTGGTGATAGATTTACTTTCGGGCACGTGCCCTCCCCCCGAGTCCCCCCTCGTCTCCAGAAACGCCCTCAGCACCATCAGCAGGTTGGACGCCCCCCCCCCTCATCGCCAGAGACGCTCGCACCCCGACGCCCATCGTCCCCTCGAGGCCCAGAAAGAGCCTGCTGCAACAACCCGCTCAGCACCGCATCTGGGTCTAGCATGTTTAACGCCTCCTGGGATGCCTTGCCAGTCATGATCTCTGGAATTGCCGATTTCGAAGACATGAGAAGCTTATAGTAGGATTGGGGTTGATCACTGCGAAACCTCAGTTGGCCCTTCCTGAAAATATCTGCCTTGGACAAAACAGCTTGAAGGTAACACCGTTTCGACAAAACCTTCCTCGAATCAAACTCCTTCTTGCCCCTCTTGGCGTGGAAAAGCAGCCTCTCCACCCCGCGGAAACCTTTGGCCGACAACTCATCAAGAAGACATGCGATTGGTATTTTCGCATCTGACAGTGGCTTTGTCCAAGCCAACTTCGAAGGCTCGATCAAACGTAAGCAACCGCCAACTGTATATTGATCTGCCTTCCACTGCATGAAATGTCGCCTGTCTGACAAGTCATTACCAAAAAAAGCAAAAAGGCTGCAATGCATCGAGTCCTCCACGCGGAAAACATCGATCGAAGTTGGGACTTCGTGCCGTGGCAGATCAGCCTCACGGAGGATTGCCATTGGCGCTATCATCCAAGTGACAGTGTCGACCTTTGGCGTTGCAATGGTCTTGACGAGAATATCTCTGGTTTGCACTGCCAGCACTTGGAAACAATACCATGCCTCATCAGCGCTAGATTTGTTCGGGACCGTGCTGTAACTGTACGGGGTTACGACTGATTGAACGAACTCTGCCATGGGCTTTCGGTCCCGAAGAGTTGCAACATCAACGAATTCATCTCCATCTAAAGTCATGGATCCAGTCGGAGGCGGAGGAGGTCGCCTGCCGACGTCGCCGTCCGCGTCGGGGTCGTCGTAAACGTTGGGATCGTCAGCAACGGCAGCATCGGTTCCCTGATTGGCAAACGCAGGATGCAAGTTCACGCTGTAGATTCTATCCAAAACTGCCCTGACTTTTTGTTTGACTCGACGGTCTGGCCTCCTAAAGTTAATGACTGATGACCAGTTGTTCCAGCATCTCTGCAAATTGATTCCTGTCTGCTCTGCCATCTGATTCACCATATCCAGGTTTTGCCCCAAGCGAAGGGACGACGCGACCCAAGGCCACCTGGAGCAACGAGATCCTTCCAACACTCGTTTGGCAACTGCATGGGGGAACTCCGACACGTGATCATCGAATGGGATATCTGCAATCGCCTCTATTTCCAAACGCAGAGCATCAGGCAAAGGACCTCCAGTATTCGGCAGCGCTAGCACTGCATCTCGAAGTGGCGAGTCGGGGCCCAGGAACTTCAAGGTTAGAGGGTGGTGAAGTGCACGATCTGTCGATTCAAACTGTCTCAACGCCAACTCCTTGACCCCAGGCTCCCCAAGGCGAGAAAACAAATATGGCACCGTATTCATGTAATCGAGCTTCCTGAGCCCGAGTGCGCAGACCATGCGAACAGATCCCGTGCACTGCTGAAGCAAAGACTGATCACCCCCGAAGGTGGACGTTGTCCAAGCCTCAGCCTCCTTCAATGCCTCCTGGGACGCGCTGCTACTATCGCGACTGCTCGCGCATGCCGAAAACAGCGCATGGAGGGAGTGGGGGGGCGCTTGATTTGAAAAACCTTACCCCTCGGAGTTCTGCTCAACCTGATTTGAAACAACATCCTGGAAAACTTCAAGATTGCATACCTACTCCGAGGTTCCCTTGGCGACGGCCCCCCCGTTAAAGATGTTTGAAACGCTGTTTTCGATCACGCTGACACTGGTCGATTGACACATCCACGACGTCAACGACATTCGATGCCCTTGCCCCCTCCCCCAGGCGAAGATGAGAACGGGCACTGCGTGGGATACAAAGCGGGGAAAGATGAATCAGAGAACGAGGACAGAGGATGATGATAAGCAAAAGCGGGAAAACGGGGGGGAGAAGACAAAGGCGAAGGAGATCGCATACGTCGTGGCAGCGGCAGCACGAGCGGTCCTGGAACGAAGATTGCGCCTTACCGTAGGCGTAAGGAAGAAGTCTGCCCTTTCTCTTGCAGTCGACTGGGTTCCCAAGCTCGCAATCGGCCTGGTGACAAATGCAGCTCCCGCCCCACGACTGCAAATGAGTCAACCACTCCACGAGCCACGCAGTGAACGAAAAGAGATCCACCCATCGTTGGTCATCCATCGCCCGTCGACCCCTCCTGATCAACGAAGTGTCCCTGACTTTCTTGAGGAATGACATGTGTCCCCAATGTCTCTGCAATATGCCGATGACTCCCTTGAGAGATCTGCGCACTTTGTGGAGCGCGCCCCACCGCCACTGCGCGAAATATGGTAACGATAACGCGTCCACGATCTCAGCGACCGCTGACAAACCGGCCTCCCTGAAGTTCCTGACGATCTCAACGCTGTATTGCCGCAAGAAAGTGAGTACGCTTTTGATGCCGTCCAACCATCGCGGGAACCAGTCCATGCTACACAAAGCCCTCCTAATGAGCGTGTCGAAGATGTGCATCCAACCTGGCGCTTGCACTGCATATGAGAACAAACGTGTCTGCGTTGGCATGCCTCGCGGTGCTGCTACGCCTACGTGCTTGCAGAATGCTGGCAAGATGTCTTTCGCATTGCCGAACAACCTCTCAGTGCCCATGTCCGATGTCACCGATACGACCCGTGCCAACATCTGCCTGAGCGATACAAATGACGGACCCACACACAGCACAAACTTCCATAGCAACGCATACAGCTTTCCGTACAGGCTGAGGTGCTGACCACCAATGCGGATGACTGGCAAGAGGTACCGAAAACAAATCCATTCGCCCGAAATTCTACCAACACAGTCAACGGTGGTGGCGAACAGCTCTACTCCCCTCCATTGGGGAGATCCGTCAGTATAAAGATAAAAACGCGCCAGCCCCATATTGGTTTGAAACCACCGTCGCAACAACAACATACAGACAACATCGAGTCTCCAGCGTCCACGCCTCAAAACGTCATAACTGATGCACACGCTTCGCCTGGCCAACTCGTCGCCCGCGGACTGGTCGTGCCGAGCAAGAACTTTAGCCCAGGCCCGTTTGCATCTGTCAGCCAGTCGCAGACCTTTCAAGTATCGCGTCGCACCGAGGTAATCAATAATGACTTCCACTGGGAACGATTCCAATCCAGGTCGAGCACCCCTCGGGCCGACAACATGTTCATGCTCACTATCTCCAGTCGTTATGCGCACAACAGCAGAAGAGAAATCACGCATTGCACCCATGTGTTTTTTGACGGTTGACATCGCAGGGCCCATCAATAATCTATGATGTTTGATGCTTAGCCCAGGTGCAAGCGGAATTCATTTCAAGTAGGGCCAGCCAGGCACGATCAATTTTGCAAAGTCTGTTCCAACGTATACTGTCTGGCATGTCCATACAGACGGACGATAAGCAACAAGATCAGACCACATGCTCAATACGTCTCTGAAGCAAGCTGTTTTACCATCAATTGGATTGTGAACCAACTTGTCGCACACAAAACTAAACAGATCAATGCAGCCGCGGGGCAAACGCGATTCATGTACAAGCGAAGCCACATCCGTCAACTGATAACCCACAGCCCCAACAAATTCGTTTCGCGATGGCCGCTGACAAGAAGCGGCGATGAAATCTTTGAATCTAGCGTTGCCGTTGAACTTGCCAACGGTGTCTGCAACATCGCTGGCCGACAGAATTTCCCACACACCTATTCCAACAGAAGTCAAGACCATATCATCGCATTGGCACTGCAATCGCTCAACAGCCGTGAAACCTGCCACAGCCGCAGTCGCACATATCATATACAACGTGATCATGCCGAAATTGTCCAACTCACCTCGTGGGCGGCCAGACCGTGAGGAATCTCGCCTAGCATTCTCGGGATCCCCATCGATTGAATCACTGTCGGCCGCAATGGGCGCTTGTGGCGGTTCCTCGTGCACAGAATCGACGTCCATGCTGAAACCCAAATGGCTATGGGAACGGAAGAAAACGTTGGAGGTGCAGACACGGAAGGCCCCCAATATACATTCGCAATGCATTGCAATCAATGCGAGGACCTTCAAACGACGCCTCTCTTGCGTATCTCACACGTGCAACGCAACTCCTGCAAATGTTATTGATGCGTGGTTTTGTTTGGGGGGACGTGAACGAAGGCGACGTCATAATGAGTGTGTGCATTGCTGTTGCAGATGATGTTATGCTACTATTACATTATGTTGCCATATCAATGTTGATGCGTTGTGGCTCTATTACAAAAAATCCAACGCCATTTGGCGGTGAGTGTGTGTGTCCCCCCGAGTAGCAGGGGAAACCGTCGGTTGGAGTTTCGCCTAGCAGTGTCGGTAAGTAAGGCCCTACCACTGCGAGGCGAACCTCTTCCGCGCGACCGCCAAGCGGTCGAAACTGGCGGGCAGCCCCGCATCTTGCGGCACAGGTTATTCCATCTGGCCAGGAGTTTGGCCCATGAGCCTGCTACCGACGCTGCTTGTCCCAGGACTGCGATGTCGCTGGTGCGTGACGCGATCCGCCGCCAGCTGTGCGACACCACTTTCCCACGTAACGTGACCTTGCATGAGGTGAGGGCCCGCGAGGAGAGGGCAGATCAATCTGGGGTAGCCACCTCTGCCGTGGTCTTCCCGGCCATTGTCAGGGTCCCAACGAGTGACCAGTTCCGACTCAGCCAAGCGGGAGAAGAGGTGCTCCATGTCGCGCATCTCGTGGTCCGTCCACTCGCAGTCCTCACCGAAAACCGACCGGCCACGTCGGTGGTGGCTGCGCACCTCCCACGGGCAATTCCATAGGGAATGGCTTCTGTCTGATGTGCGTGTTAAGCTTGATCTGAACAGGCGAATGTAGGTAGATTGCGCTCTACAGCACTGTGGCCTTGGTGAAGCGATTGCCCCATCCGAAATACAACGTAATCAATCGTTCTGCCTCCACCGAGGCCTGCACACGACACTTCTTCTGGCACTACGAGGACTCCAGCAACGTCCGCAGGCCAACCCGTATCCTCAAGGGTGCCGGCCACTTTCTGGAAATCCGCCTGAATGATCCAAGGCATCCTACAGCTCATGATCAAATCACCAAACGCATCCAATACTGACAAATTCCTTGACGTCCGACCCTTTGCGGCCGACAGGTCGGCCGCAAAGGCCGACCTGTCGGCCGCAAGCCCACGCCTGCACCCCGTCGTCTTCAAACTCCATCGGCTGGGCTGGTGAAGCCGACAATCAACTTCCTCTTGTAGCAAGCAGTGAAGCGGTCTAGGCGGCAATCAACTTCCTCGGCTCCTCCTGGCGCCAGTCGGTAGAGAGGAGGAGGAGGAGGAGGAGGAGGAGGAGGAGGAGGAGGAGGAGGAGGAGGAGGAGGGGGAGGAGGATGATGAGGAGGAGGAGGAGTGGGAGGAGGATGAGGAGGAGGAGGAGGACGAGGAGGAGGAGGAGCAGGAGGATACAAAGGATAAAAAAAATGAACAGGTCCTACCTCTACTGTGTGGACTGGACCTGTCAAGGCACAGGGGCCCTCACCCCAACGGCCTCCCCGTGGTCGGGTGCTGGCCGTTCCACGGACGATTCAGTCTGCCCTGTGCAGTGGCTCGTTGGCCCTTCCATTCGCTCCTGCTGAGACCCTGCCAACGCCGCTGGGCGTAGCAAGCACACACCCTGCAGAACGCACAGCCTGGTTGGATTACAAGCTGGTGCCGGTTTCTCCGTGCCAGCTCTGCCCTGAGAGCCGCGTCAGGAGCGCGTGCCACTTCGCGCGACAGATTATCTTCTCAGGCCGCAACAGCAGCCACTTTGACCGCACGGAGCAGCTTCAAATGGAGGTCGAGGTCAGAGACACCTAAGCGAACTCTCCAATGTAACCTTCAATGTGTTGTGCAATTGGAACGCAAACACCGTCATGCGATGGTCCGCGAGGCGCGAGAACTCTTGCGAGTACTCCAGCTCCGAGCCAAGGCCGAGGCAGATGATGAGAGATGGAGGAAAAAGGGAGCGGGGCCCAGCCAAGAGGTCCAGAAGGCCAGGACAGGAGAGGTAATCGGGGAGGGAACCTACACATCCCCCACAGCCCAGGAGACACTGCCGACGGCGGAGGACGGGCATCCTGGCCGACGTCGTCAAAGCTCCTGCCCAGGCTTTTGGGTGGGCCCAAGCCCGCGACCTCTGGGACCTGACCAGGGCCCCACGGAGGAGCGACCCTCGATGGGCAAAGTCGTAGTGAGAGGGGTGGGGAGCCTCCAGAGACCAGGGCCCGATCCGACGGCGGAAGAAGAGGTGAAGGACGTCGAGGAAAAGAAGGCGGGTCAAGGTCCTGATATGTGTCCCCTGAGGACTCGGCCTACGAACACTCACGAGCGCGGGGAGCCGCCTGGAGAACCTCCCTCCGTGCCCAGGACAGGGCCTGCAATCCAGCACGTCGACGAGACACTGTGCAATCGAGTGCGGCTGCTTCCATCAAAGCGGAGACCACTCTCTGCGAATTCATTGCACCAGGAGGAGGAGGGGGAGGAGGAGGGGGACGAGGAGGGAGAGGAGGAGTGAACGTCCCCCTGAAGAGTCCTCGTCCATCTACGCCACTCGCAGCCGCTGGATAGCGTGGGGGCCGTTGCGTGAACGTGAGGAGGGGGGCCTATCTCCCCCACTTATGGCATAATATACGTAGAAGGCGATGGCGAGAGAGCGAAAAACATAGCCGAGCGATTGCTGACTCTGACGCGCGGCAACACCCCGGACGCCCAAACGACTTACACATCACCACCTTAAAGGACGCGTAGAGTCAGCGACCAACTCTAAAAAACGAGCACACGTTATGTTGGATGCAATCAGCCTCTCCCGAGCACCCCATGAAACACGCTTTGAGCCGGCTACCACGTGCTTGCGATTGCTTTTGGGCCAGGCCCCACAAAGGGTTTCGAGGATGCACCAGCCTGTGGCGGGCCTGCACCTCCGTAAGTCGGAGCGGAGGTGGAGCCAGCGAGAGTCGAGGTAAGAAGGGATGGGCAACTCAGGATACCATTTCCTTAAGTCTCCGACGCAAGGTGTCAAAGGATTGAGCTGGGTACAAGAAACACGTTCGTTGAGCACCAGCTGCACGCTGCACTTTTGGCTTCCGACGCTCCCCGAACGACTCGACGCGAACAACCTCCACCCTCCCCGCTACGTAAGAGGGGGAGGACGAGGGGGAGAAGGTAGAAAAATGAGTGGGAGGAGGTTCCCTCCTTGCCATCCTTCCGCTCCACTCCAAGCGTCTATGAGGTCTCGGGATGTCTCTCGAGGTTCCCGGTGGTCGCAAGAGGCGGTCGGACGCCTCCGGAGGCACATAGCTTTCTCAAGACATACAGATCCTAGGACCTCCTCCTCCTCCTCCCTATTCCTCCTCCTCCTCCTCTTCCTTCTTCCTCCTCCTCCTCTCTTCCTCTGCCCCCCCTGCCAACACGACAGACTTGCGATAGCAGAGGTGCGCGCCACCCGCGCCAAGCATCCCCCAGGCCTTCACCACCCAATCGTGCCGCCGCCAGCGCCCGTCCTTAATGACGAGGTCCCAGACCTGCAGGCAGAAGGTGAGGATGAGGAGGATCGGGGATCGAGTTTCCAGGATTTGTGCATTTTCGGGCGTAGCCCAGATGTGCTTCTCGCGAGCTGGACCGAACTGACTGACTGGACGCACCCATTATACGGCCGTTGTATCTAGTTGGCCTTCGAGTGCGCAGCCCATGGCGCAACGGATAGTATACATTTCTTCCTTGACCGCCGAGTGCGCGAGCAATGACGCAACGGACAGCAGGACATTGACACTTCGAGCTCCGAATGCGCAACGTATGGGGCAACCACCGGTAGCCGAGTGCACTTCTTCTCGGCCGGCGAGTGCGCAGCGTATGGTGCAAATCATAGCAGCCGTTTTGGTTTCTGCCATCGAATGCATCACCCCATGCGGTAAATAACGGCAAGGCGTTTTTGTTTCGGTCTCCGAAGACGCAGCCTACCGCGCAACCGCCAACACGTCACTGCAGTTTCGGCCGCCGCGTGCGCAACCTGAGGCGCAACGAACTGCAGGCTTTTTTGGTTTCGGCCGCCGAGTGTGCAACCTATGTGGCAACTGCCAACAGGCTTCGCCGAGTAGGCAACTCCACGGGCACCCATGGCAGGCCTTTTTGTTGTCGGCCGCCGCATGCACCACCTACGACCCAACCAATACCAGGCTCGCTTCTGTGCGACATCCAGGTGGGCGATTCATGGCGCAACCTATGGCGCACCCTGCAGATGGCGCGACCCACGGCGCAACCAACGCATCGCCCGACCCATGGCGCAGCCGACGGATCCCGCTTTCCACTCGGGGGAGGGGCTGGCCTGGCCCGTGTCGAGGTTTTGATCCCTGGTGGGGGGGCAGGGACAGCGGGGCGCCCTGGTCGACCCCCGGCTGGCGCAGCCCATGGTGCAACCTGCCCAACTCACGGGCGGTACAAGCCATGGTGCAACCAACGGCTGGCGCAGCCCGTGGCGCAACGGCGCAGCCCACGGATCGCGGAACCCGCGGCGCCGTCCATGGATGGTGCAACCTGTGGCACCGCCTGGATCGCGCAGCACATGGCGCGCCACGTTGTCGGCACACGCCCAGTGCTGCGGGGCTGAGCTCGAGTTGTGCTGGCCGTTTGGCCTGGTGGTGGGGCACCAGCGGCATGCCGTCTTACGCTGTTGGGCATCTGCAGAGGAGGACTCAGGTCCCGCTCTCATCGTCGAAGGGAGGATACTTCGCACACGTGGGAAGCACTTTCTGCTGGGTCTTCGTCTCCTGCTGATCCTTCTTCTCCCTCTTCCCCCATTGTGACAGACGCATGCACCACCAAATCGGCGCCATGTGCGTCAAGAAAATCGCAGGAGCCTCTCATGAACCTCTCGGCTTTCCTAATCGCATGATGCTCGCAAGCGCCCTGCAAGAGGCTCGCGATAGCCTCGCACGATCACCACGTGAGCCTCGCGGGAGCCTCTTATGCGCCTGACAAGACGATTTTAACGCGTAGTAGCTGTGCCATTTCCGTGGCACCAATGAGGGTTGGCAAAGGGTGCGGTCTTCATCCGTGCCACGCCCCAAAGGCCTGACAAGCGTGGCATTTCATCGCCAACAGAAGGGTTGCGTAAGGAGCGCGGTCTCTATCTGTGTTACGCCCCCCAGGGCACGGCAAGGGTGACACATTCTCGACGCGAGAGGCTGTCCGGCGTGGCCTTCAGGGAATAGAGGGGATGAGGAGAATCACACACAGGGGTAGTGGAAAAGGGAATGAGGAATGGACGGCGAGGGAGAGGGGGAGAGGAGGATGGACCTGAGCAGGGGAGAGAGAGAGAGAGAGATAGAGACAGATAATGAGAGAGGCAGAGAAAGAGAGACAGAGAGCCAGAGAGAGAGAGAGAGAGCGAGAGAGAGAGAGAGAGCACCCACCAAACAACACAACTATACTACATAACTGCTGGAACAGGCCGCTCACCACTGAGAACATGGGCGCGTTCAAGTACGTGTTCCACCTGACCGGGGAATGGGCCTTCTCTTCTGGGGTTGCCGCCCATGTGCCTCACAGGCATACTCCTCCCCCCTGACGCACTGACTATCCTTTTCTTGTTTTGGTTATCTTTGTGTGTCCGTGTCTCTATGTCTCTCTATCTATCTACATCTCTTTCTTTCTGCACCACTCGCACGTGTCGTGCGCTTCCCCCCGCCCCCTCACTCCCTTTCCCCCTTCCTCCCCCTCTCTACTGCTCCCTGCTCCCTTGGGCACCGTTCTGGCGTCGGGAAACGTCAGTCACGCGAGGGTCGTGGGAAAGGGGGGTATACGTAAGCACGGGGTGAGCGGACAGAAAGAGATGGAATTAGCAGGGGAGGGGAAACGGTGGGAGGGAGAGGGTCACGGGAGAAGGCAGGGTCGAGAGGCGGAGGATGAAGAAGAGGAGGGGGAAAGAGAGTGACGATGACGCGGACGCCGAGGGGGAAGGGAGGATTGACGAGGGACGGCAAAGGAGGAGGCCAACCGCAGGAGGACGATGAAGGCTGGATGATGCTACGACGCTGCCAAGGTTTCAAGCGACGCAAGGCGCGTGCCCTCGGTGGTGCCGCCGCGGGTCGCCCCGGGGCCCTGGAGCCCAACCGCACACAAACTCGCGGCTTTGGCCCCACCATCCAAGCAAACGTCGAGCCTGACTCATGCGCAGCCCAGTGAAAACTGCCACGTGTGTGTGTGTGTGTGTGTGAATGTGTGTGTGTGTGTGTGTGTGTTCGTGCGTGCGTTCGTGTGTGTGTGTGTGCGTGTGTGCCACCCATGTGGTCCGTACGCGGCGCCACACCATGCGTTGCGCGATCCACGGGTTGCGTCGTTGCGCTGTGGGTGGAGCGATCCGTAGGCTGCGCAAGGAATTGCGCCATCCGTGGGTCTGAGCGGGTTGCGCGATACATGCGTTGCGGAATCAGTGGGTTGGGTCATGGGTTGCACCATTAGTTGCGGCATGGGTTGCGCATTCGGCAGCCCACTTCAGACGGCCTGCTGGCGATTGGGCCATGGGCGGCATGCTCGGCGGCCAAATCGAAAACGGCCTGCGACTCGTTGCACGGTAAGCTGCGCACTCGGGCACCGATAAAGCAAAGACTACGTTCTTCTGCCTGCGCGGCCAAACACACAACGGCCTCCTTCTTGGTTGCGCCAACGGCTCCGGGCTCGGCGGCCGAAGGAACAGCGACCGCCTACCAAGTGTGACCAGTAAATCCATGCACTCCACCTCGCGAGCGCAAACTAATCAAGCGACTCCAGACAAGATCCGCAGCATGGGACCGTGATGGACATACACGCTATAGTGAAGCAGTCCGACGAATTCGCCTTCGCAAACTCGGCGGGGAGTGGGAGAGGAGGGGAACGCAAAGGAAGAGGGAGAGAGCGATAGAGAGAATACTACAGTGCTGTACTTCTACACGTGCATTGAAACAACTACGCATCGACATTTCTGCTTTGTGTAAACAAAGAGATACACATGCAGAGGGGGGCTCGAGAACGAGGATTCATGTGTGTATATGACCATACAATGAGAGAGAGAGAGAGAGAGAAAGAAAGAGATAGAGAAAACAGAGAGAGAGAGAGGGGGAGAGACAGACATAGAGAGAGAGAGAGAGAGAGAAAACGACAGACATAGAGAGACAGAGACATAACTGGACATGAATATATATATATATATATATATATATGTGTGTATAACCATAAACATTCCAGATTATCATTGGCCAGCATAGCGAGGAGTGAAGATGAATCGGCAGCTCTGACAACTGAGGGCCGTCTCGGGCCGAAGACGCACGATCAGAGGAGGCCCCACAAGACGTGCAATCCCTAACTATGATCACAAAACTGTCAACTGGCTGGTAACACCAGCCGCTCAAACATGTTTTTTTTTCTTTCAACCAGCGCGATGATATGACATGTGCGTGACGTGGCGTGTCATCTCTGCAGATTTCCACCGTGCCCTCCAGGGGCCTCTTTCCCGGCCATTGGCTATCGGCACCAGCACGCGAGCGGCGGCCAACGCAGAAAACTGCGGACCTGAAACTTCGAACTGCCGCCGCCTCCACGGATAGAAAAAAAAAAAAAAAAAAAAGGCGACAAGCACGACCTAAACAGTCGTGTGCGTACGGTGATCCGCTTCCCCTCATGGGGGCCATAGCCGCTCCCACCGATGAGCCAGGGCCGGCCGAGTAAACGTCACCACATTCAGGGGGGAGGAAGAGGAAGAGGAAGAGGAGGAGGAGGAGGAGGAGGAGGAGGAAGAGGAGAGAAGGACAGGCAAAGCAACTTGCGGCGGATGCTGCGGATTACCCTGCACCCTCTACACCGAAGGCGCGTGGTGCTTTACATGCGTTCCATGATGCCTCGGAACTGGGATCTGCACAACCAGTAAGGGTCCACTGCGCCACTCTGGTGCCGAAGGTGGGCTGTGGCGGTGTAACAACAGTACACATGTATAGCTACATATTTGTACGAATCCCTCCAGGCCCTCCCGAGGAGAAAATCGCGGAACGTCCATTCGCTAAAATCTATGTGTGCGTACCGGCACACCAGCCGCTCAAACATGAGAGACCTGCGTGATATAAGTGCGTTGCTACACGCTTGTGCGAGAGCACGACACAATTGTGGAGGGCATGCCTCGGCGAGTTTTGTCGTAAAGGTAAGATCAGCTTTTTGCTTCCCGTGCAGCTGGGCGTGGGTGCGGGAGCAGATACCTCTCTTTGAAGACTTACAGAGGGCGCGGCCAATGCGGCTCATGTCCAGGCCGACGGCGAGGAACGCCGTGGCCTTCCACCACGGCGTTCCCCACTGGAAAAAGTGAGCGACCGTGAGCGAGACAGCAGCAGCACGCAGCAAGCGAACGAAGTGAGGCGCGATCCACAGCCTGCTGGTCTGAGGATTCTCGATACTAGCTGGGACGTTGGCCCTGATGGCCGAGGGGTGCACTGAAAGACATGAAAGTGTTCCGGGCTTCGACCTTGGCCTGATCTTTGGGGCCGAGGTCGGGCAAGCCGAGCGGAAGCGCATCACTCCGAAGCGGCCTCGGGCCAGGCGGGATGTCACGAGCGCGGCTCCACGAATTGCATGGAGTCCCGAGGTGGATGCCCAGGACCAGCCCGCTTCGGACCCGTCCTCGGGTGAGAGCGCGCTTGGCGGGCTTCAACGGGTCGTAGTCTGGGCCCAGGCAGGTGTCCCAGAGCGGGACTGGCAGCCCCTCGGCGGCGCCGGCCAGACGCGATCTCGCCGAGAGAGTCGGCGCACAGCGCTGCGTGGTCCTGCGTCGCAGCGGCAACCATCTGCAGCACCTGCGGCCGCCGGGCTCCTTTCTCGCATCGTCGGGCCGAATGCCGCGACTGCCGCTGGCCTCTGCGCTGCACGTCGACGAGGTGCCTCGCCCTGCTGCCGAAGTCGGTGGGCACGCCCCCGTGCCGCAGCATGTGCGGGTGGAGGCCGGGCAGGCTCTCGTCTCTCTTCAGCGCCGTGGCGTCGTGGAGGGCCCTGGACACCTGCGGCCGCGTCGCCTCGAAGAGCGGGGGCTCTGGGGCGCGCGCGCGTCCCCGCGGGCGACCGCGGCGTCGCGGCGCGGCAGCCGCGTAGCGGGGCGCCGCCAGTCGGCCCCCAGCCTCGCAGACACCCTCGCCATCGCTCGGACGTCCATTCCCTGTGTTTCTTTCGGTTTCGTGCGTGGCTTTTTCGCCACATGATCAAGGATGCTCCTCGATTGTCCTCGCCGAAGGAGAAATGCCAAGCACCAGGCCCTCCAGCGCCGGCCCCTGCAGCTCCTGCTGGGGAAAGTCCAGCTTCAGCGCCTCGTCGTACTCTGAAGGGGCCCCAGGACACACAAATAAATACACACAAATAAAAAGATGTCCCATCTCTTCTCATTGTTGGGGGGTTTTTGTCTTCCCCCCAACTTCCCATATTTTTGCATATTTTCCTGGGAGTCGACGAGTAATTGTGTCTGTGTGTTTCTTTCCCTGCTGATACTCGGCGGTCTTCGACAGCACCTCCGTCGCGGCAGCGCGCCGCGTGGCGCTCCAGCCGTCGTGGCCGAGGCGGCCGCGGGCCGGGCGCGCCAGGTCGGTGGCCCGGACGTGGCGCGGCCCGCCCGGCCGCAGGTTCAGCTCGAAGCTGAGCCACAGCGCCGGTGCCTCCTCCAGCCTCCCCAGAAGTCCAATACAGTCGGGGCGTTGACCTAAGGAACCCTAAATAAGGAACGAGGCCCCTCTTTTCCATAAGTTAAGCTTCGATTTCCTATCGAAAACATAAGGAAAACCTGAGGCAAGCTGTGAAACACTTAAGGAGCGCGGAGTCCCTCCCAAACCAAAAGGGTTCCTTCTTCAGGCCCTGACTGTAGATCATCATTTGATCAGATCGAATTTGTTTTTTCTTGAGCGGAAGTCCTATCTTAGCTAGCAAGGCACACCCGATCAAACTTATAATAAGGCGTGCGTTGTTGTACACAAGAAATAACGCTTTGAGCCAAAATGGCTACGACATGGTGTGGCAAAATGGCTACGGCATATCATGCCCTCTTGGCCTTCGTTCTCCTCCTCCTCGTTCTGCTCCTCCTTTTCCTTCTCCTTCTCATCCTCCCTCTCCTCGTGTTCCTCCCCTTCTTCTCCTCCTCCTCCTCCTTCTCCTCCTCTTTCTCCTCTCCTCCTCCTCCTCCTCCTCCTCCTCCTCCTCCTCCTCCTCCTCCTCCTCCTCCTCCCCCTTCCCCATCTCACCCTCGTGGGATCCGCGCAATCTGACATCCTGTGATTTTGCATGTCCGCCGATGCCAGCGCGGGTGTTCGTGTCGTCGTCTACCTGATCATGGCCTCGAGTTCGGCATAGGTGAATTGGCGCACGTGGGCTAGGGCGGAAAAATGTCCACCACCAGTCGTCGTCACGCTGTGGGAACACGCTAGCACCGAGACGCAAAAGCCATTCCACGGTGAGCAAACCCTTTGGGCTGACTGGCTCTGGCGCCGGCAACGTACGGTGCGGTCCATATCCCAGCTCACGCGCACGAGCAGCATAGCCCGTGGATGAATCCTGAAACCCACCCCGCGACCACTTTCCTGACACCCCCGTGTCATTACCAATTTCCCCCATCCCCCCGTTGGTGAAGTAGCGCGCGGGAGGGGGAGTGGGGGTGGGGGGTAAACACGGAACGTCGTAAGGTGAGTTTCTGGGATCTTCAGGTGGTATCTGGCTACCTTGTCCCACGTGGCCGCCGCATATTTCCTGGACACGTTATCCAATGCCCTGAGACCCACTGATTCGGCCCAGCTTGCCTCGAGAGGACGATAGAGGAGGAGGAGGAGGAGGAAAAGGAGGAGGAGGAGGAGGAGGAGGAAGGACGAGGAGGAGAAGAAGGAGGATGAAACGGAGAAGGTAACGGAGGAGGAGTAGAAGATGGAGGAGGAGGCGGAAACGGAGGAGGAGGAGGAAAAGGAGGGATGAGAAGGAGGAGGACGATGCAGGCAAGGAGAATGAGGTTGGATGGGACAGGGGAAGTGGAGGATGAGGGAGGACGGAGGGAGGGTGATGATGATGAGGAGGACGAGGAGGAGGAGGGGGGGGAGGAGGAGGGGATGGGGAGGAGGAGGGTGGAGGGCGAGGGGGAACGGAAGGAGGAGGATAAGGAGGAGCGGGGTAGGATCACGCGGAGGAGTACGAGGAGGGAGGGAGAGAGGGAGGGACGGGAGGGAGGGAGGGAGGAAGGGGAGAGGAAGCGAGGAGGAGAAGGAGGAGGATATGACGCCCAACCTAGTTAATCTCGAAACCACAAGGGCGCCGAAAACCAAAGGGGCGCCGAAAACCAAAAGGGAGCCAAAAACCAAAGGGGCGCCGAAAACCAAAGAGGCGCCGAACACCAAAGGAGCGCCGAAAACCAACGATGCGCCGAAAACCCCCCAAAAAGGGCGTCGTCAAAATAACCCACCGGCGCCGATAATCAAGACGACCCCAAACACCAAAGGGGCACCGAAAACCAAAGGCGCGCCGAAAACCAAAGGAGCGCTGGAAACCGGAAGGGAACCAAAAAACAAAGAGCGCCGAAAACTAAGACGGCGCCGAAAACCAAAGAGGCGCCGAAAACCAAGAGGGCGCCGAAAACCAACGATGCGCCGAAAGCCGAAGGGTGCGCAGAACACCAAAAAGGGGCGCCGAAAACCAACGATGCGCCGAAAACCCAAAAAGGTCGTCGTCAAAATAACCCACCGACGCCGATAATCAAGACGACCCCAAACACCAAAGGGGCACCGAAAACCAAAGGAGCGTCGACAACCATAGGGGTGCCGAAAACCAAAGGAGCGCCGAAAACCACAAGTTCGCCGAAAGGGGGAATTACTTCGGAAGCCCCCACCCCAGTTTAGAAAGGGGCACCTGGCTTACCCTGGGCGCCGGAAAGGAGGGGAGGGTGTGTGTAGCTTCCAAGCCCCTCCCCCCTTTGCCAGGCACCCCCCAGCTAAAACATCCAAACCAAAGGAGGGGGTGGTAGTTTCAGAAGCCCCCTTCCTTTGAAAGGGGAGCACAAGAGGCTGCCCTGGAGCTCCGGAAAAGAAGGGGGAGGTAGTATGGAAGCCCCCTCCGCATGTAGCTAGAGGCCCCCTAGCTCCGAAATGCCAACAGAAGGAAGGGAGGGGGGGGGAGCTTCAGAATCCCCCCCTCTTTTCCAAGGGAGGGGGGTAGCTTGAAGCTGAGGACCCCCTTTTAGTGAGAAGTGTGCCGCGAGCGCGCTCTTTGAGAGAGAGAGAGAGAGAAACAAAAGAGAAAGAAAGAAAAAAGAAAGACAGAGAGAGGCAGATAACGAGAAAGAGAGAGAGAGAGAGAGCGAGGGACAAAGCGAGAGAGAGAGAGGGAGAAAAAAGAGAGAGAGAGAGAGAGAGAACAAACACACATATTTTGATATCCACAAGCGGGGGAAGGGAAGGCGGGGGACAGGAGACGCGAGGGAGACGATGGGGGGGGGGAGTGGAGATGACACGACAGATGCTAAATACGATGTTATGGAAACGGAGGGCGAATAGGGGCGTAGTAAGGGAATGGAAAGGTGAGGAGAGGAACGCGGGGAGAACAACGGGAGCATGGGGAGCGGGAGCAGAAGGGGGGAGGTAACGAGGTGGACACGAGGATGAGGAGGAGACGGAGGAGGAGGAGGAGGAGGAGGAGGAAGAGGAGGAGGAGGAGGAGGAGGACGGCTCGGGGGGGGGGGCGGGGGCGGAAAGGCAACACGCCCAAACCCTGGAAGCCCCAAGAGAGCCGCCCCCGGCTTCTTTCCTGGTCCTGCAGATGCCGCTCCTCTGCCGCCTGCCCCCCCTCGGGCACGTGTCGCCGCGGCCGCTCGTCCTCGACGCGCCCCAGTGGACGAGGCCGACACCGCGGCGAACCCACGGCAAGCCCTGCGTCCCGCGCCCCAGGTCGACGTAAGTCAGGCCTGTCCCCCAACAGGGGGATTGTCGACGAAAAATTGCAAATACCCCAGAAATGCACCCAAAAAGCTAACAAGTAGTCAAAAAATAGTATCCAGACTATTTTTGGAGCTTTTTTTGATTATTTTCATCGTGTCTCTCTTATTTTTCGCCGAACATCCCTCTGTAGGGGGACAGGCCCTTAGTGGGCCCCGGAAACGGCAGGGCCGTTTTTTCACCGTTTCCGAGAAAATGGCCCTTGAAAATGGGAACGGCAAAAAAACAGCGACCGGAAACGGCAACAAAAACGGCTCCAGGATTGGAACCGGAGCCGGAACCGGTCAAAAAACGGCGACGGAACCGGTGAAAAAACGGCGTCGGAACCAGCAAAAAAACGGCAAAACGGACCCCGTAAAGAAACGGCCCTGCCGTAGGCGCCGCCGGGGGGCCCCAGCGCCGATCCGAGAAATCCGCGTGGACCTCCGAGTTTTTATGTTTATGTCATTTCTTGTTCCCCGAAAAAAACCCACTCCCATAGTGACCACCCCGACACGAGAAGACGTGCAGTAAACGCGCCCAAAGAAGGCATCGAGCAGGGCAGGGCTGTCTAAGAAACGCCCAGGGCCGTGTCGTGAACGCTAATTATCGGGTCCGGGTGTCTTTTTCTCCCTTGAGTGTGTGCACGTCCGTGCCGAAGACCCCCCTGGAATCTCCAGGACCCTCCTGCGGTCGGGAACGTCTGCTTAGCGTGTCGCGCCAACGGCCCCAGCGACACGCTCTACCCTGCGAGCGGATCGCGTGCCGCTCCGCTCCGCGGGTCGAGAGGCTGGGGAAGGCCCGGGACGTCGACTCTTGGGGACCGGGACGTGATTGTCCTGTCGCGCCGAGGCGTGGTGGACCAGAACTGGCGGCTTGACATGCCAAGCAGAAGCTCCTGACCGTGGAATCTCCTCCAGGCCCCGAAGGTCCAGGAACGCTCCCTAAAAACATCCTGCCTCCCTCCTTCCCCACCCCAAGACGCAGCTAGGGACGGGACAAAGTCGGGCCGGGCCAAGTCCGGGTTCTCTGAGATCCAGCGGTTCTAGAAGACGTATTGGGCGCCGCGGCCGTTCCAGAGCGCTCCGGGTAGCTCTGAGAGCGATCCAGGGCGGTCCTAGGTCCGGCACACGCCCTCCCGCCACTCGTGCGTTCAAAGAAGATGGCCTCTCCTGAACCTCGTCGGGAGCGCGTTCTGGTTAGGATGTCGAGCCGAATCCAGCCTTGGCGACGATCCCACCTCTGGAGGCACCACAAAAAGGCCATCCCCTCCCAACATACACACACACACCCACGCACACACGCACGCACGCACGCACGCACACACGCACACACACACACACACACACGCACGCACGCACGCACACACACACGCACGCACGCACGCACGCACGCACGCACGCACGCACGCACGCACGCACGCACGCACGCACGCACGCACGCACGCACGCACGCACGCACGCACGCACGCACGCACGCACGCACGCACGCACGCACGCACGCACGCACGCACGCACGCACGCACGCACGCACGCACGCACGCACGCACGCACGCACGCACGCACGCACGCACGCACGCACGCACGCACGCACGCACGCACGCACACGCACGCACGCACGCACGCACGCACGCACGCACACACACACACACACACGCACACACGCACACACGCACACACGCACACACGCACACACGCGCACACGCACACGCACACGCACACACGCACGCACACGCACACGCACACCGCACACGCACACCGCACACCGCACACGCACACCCCACACCCCCACACCCCACACCCCCACACACACACACACACACACACACACACACACACACACACACACGTGAGAAGCTCGAGCTCTGCAGCCCTCCGCGCCATCTCTCCCTCCCTCGTCCAGCATTTCAGCGACGCCTGTAGCGCGTCGGGGACCGCCCCGCCGGGCCTCCCGACCCCCCCCCCCCTTCCCCCGGGCAAAGCAGCCCGCATGGCATGCCGAGCGAGAGGAAGCACGCCAGGCCCAGAGGATGGGGAGGTGGCGGGGAAACCCTCCAAGTTCGGGGGCGCGCAAACGTGGATTAGCGATCCATGGATTTGGCGCGCGGTCGCCTAATCCACGGATCGGGGGAGGTGTCCTCCCCAAAATGCGGCCGGTGCCGCCTCATTCGGCGGCGGAAATCCGCGGTTTCCCATGGAAACGGTAACCGTCGCTACTCCACGCCCCCTTGACCCATGTTTGCGATCGCCTGATCCAATTCTCCGCTCACCCCATCCTGCAATCGGCGGCGGCCGCGCCGCCTTCCCCCCTTGGGCACGTGCATGTCCATGTCGATCAGCTCCACCTGCGGTGTCGCGCCCCGATGGATCCTACGAGGCGTCGAGAAGGAGGTAGGGGCGCAACACGGCGCACGGTGCACAGTGCACGTGGTCGAGCTTCTCGATACTCGTTGTTCTGATTCTTGGTGTTTTGTTTTGCCCCGTCGGGATCCCAGGAGAGCGCCCTGGGGGGCCCTTTCTGTGCCCGAGGACAAGCGAGAACACCTCGGGATGAGACGCCAGCCCCAGGACCGCGGGCTCCGCGTCTATCTCGCCAGGGTCGCCACCTGCTATCACCTCACAAGCTGAACAATAACTGTCCTTATCGTCATCGGCACCAGTCATCAAAACCGCCACCACCACCGCCGCCACGGTCGCCGTCAAGATCCTCGTCGTCCCCATCAGCGTCGCAAGCGCCGTCACTGCCTCGCCACCGTCCTTCTCATCACTGTCCTCACTCCTGCTGGTCTCGATCGTCCACCTCTCTACCGCGGGTGATGCCCGAAACAAGATCCACACACACCTCAACGAGGTTGTACTAAGCCGTGCCGTCTCAAACCTGCAAGGGATGCTCCCTGACGTGGCGGCTCTCGACGCTGGCGTGGTGCCGCTGCAGAACTTACCCCACGGCGAGGCCGCCACCGCGGCGGCGTCCCTCGTGGGGCTCGGGGCGCCGCCCGTGCAGACGGTGCAGTTCTTGGGGGTCGTGGAGATTCTTGTGCTTCTCCTGCGGCGCGGCACTGCCCTCGGGTGCCAGAGAGGCTTGCCGTCGCTCGGACATCCATTTTCCGTGCACTTTTCGGTTTCGTGCGTGTTTTTGTTACGCTCGATGGTCCAGGATGGTCCTCGATGGCTCTCGCCGGAAAAAAATGCACACGTCCGAGCGATGCCAAGCCAGAGAGGCTCCCTGACGCCACCGGGGCGGAAGGCGGAGGCGTGTCTCGACCGCCGCCATTGCCAGCATAGTCTGGCGGCGCCGCGCGGGCCAAGCCCGCCCCGCGGGGGCACGGCGGGCAGGGGGAAGGGGGGGCGTGCCGCGGCCGTCGGACGACGAGGTTGGACGACGACGACGACGACGAAGGAGGAGGAGAGCGACTGGGAGGTGAGCGGAGGCGGGCGAGGGAACATCTGGGGCCCCCCCGAGGGCCTCCGAGGGAGCGGAGGGAGGCGAGGGCCTCCATTCCTCCTCCTCTTCCCCCTCCTCCCTCTCATCCTCCTCCTCCTCCTCCTCCTCCTCCTCCTCCTCCTCCTCCTCCGCCTCCTCCTCCTCCTCCTCCTCCTCCTCCTCCTCCTCTTCATCATCCTCATCCTCATTCGCCTCCTCCTCCTGACGAGGAGGGCGTGCCGGAACCCTGGGACCATCTGGGGCAGCCTCGGGGGCACCAGAGAGCTCCCCGGGAGCCGTGGCGGCGCCCTCGGGCCAGCGGGCGGCGGCGGCGACGAGGACGGCAGCGGCGCACGACGACTCGGAGCAGGGCGACTTGAGACAGCGGAAGCTCCAGATCGGTGCCCGGACCCCCTCCCAGCGTCCAAGCGCACCAATGTTTCGAGATGCGTCCAGCCGCGGGCAAGAGGCTCTCCCCTGACGACCAGCCAGCGCTGCCTCCCCTCGCCCGCTGCACGACGCCGCCGCGGGGCGCCGCCTGCATGCCCGCCACGATCTGCGGGGCGGGGTTGCTGTACATGGCGCAGTCGTCGCACGCGAAGATGCCAGTGCGGGCCGCGCCCTGCGACTCCAGGAGGGCGGGCTCGACCGTCCTCGGAGGAGCAAAGCGGTGCCAATACCGTTCCTGCCCCCACGGGCCTCCTTGGGGGGGGACCTCTCGTCGCCACGGCTGGCTTCGCCTCGAGCGCAGAGGTCAGAGCGAACTCACCCTGGATTATGTTGCATCCTTGGGGGACCTTGTCTGTCCCGTCGCTGTCCTATCCGCGTCGAATCCGTGTCGAATCCATGTCGGACTCGTCGGATCCGTGTCGAATCCGTGTCGAATCCGCGTCGAATACATGCCAAGTCTGCGTCGAGTCCGTATCAAGCATGCGTCGGACACAAGAAAAGACACCAATTTGGGGGACAGGCGAGGTCCCCCGAAGATGCAACGTAACCTGAGAGAGGTCTGGAGAGGTAAAAATACCCGCATGTCCATGGGGCGAAGACGGCGAAGCAGAACATGGAGCCACCGCCGGGTGGGCCCTGGGGCCATTCGTCGGAGTCCACTGCAGCAGCCGTCGCCGCTGGCACTACGGGACCAAGCACTGAAGGGATCGCGTTGAGCAAGCTGCCAGTCCAGGTCGCTGTCCTCGTCGTTGACGTGGTCGACGTGGTCTCCGTGAATGTGCTCGTGGAGGTAGTCCTGCTGGTCGTTGTAAGGGTGGTGGTTGTCGTTGTGCTGGTGGAAGTCGTGATGGTGGTGCTGGTGCGCGTGCCAGTGGTGGTCGTAAGGGTCGTCGTGGTGGAGCTGGTACGCGTCCTCGTGGTGCTCGAGGTCGAGGTGGTCACGCGGCAATGCGCAGAGACGAAGCCGAAATTGTGGCCGCCGATCCCGTCGGTGTCCTCGAATCCTGGGTCGGATGTGGCGTAGCAGGTCGAAGAAAGTTTCATGAACACGACCTGTTTGCACGCTAGCTCCTGCTCGCACATGGCCAGACACGCGAACCAATCCTCCACGACGCAGCCGTACGCAACGCCTGCGATGCTCAACTCCGACCAAGGCCCGGGGTAACCGAACCTGGGGGGATAATGATATACAGATCGTGGGGGAAAACATAATGATATACCGATCGTGTGTGTGGTTGTGTGTGTCTTGTGTTTTTTTGTGTTTTGTTTTGTGTGTGAGAGAGAGTGTTTGTGTGTATTGTGGTTTTGTTGTGTTTTTGTTTGTGTGTTTTTGTTTTCCCCCCCCCCGATGACCCCCAGACCTCTCGCGGTGTGCGCTGCGACCAGGCTGCCGAGGCGAATCTGCCCGTTGCGACGAGGGCCCCCTAGGAGATCCCACAGGGCGGAACCGAGGGAAACGTTCCTGTATCGACGTGCGGGCATACAGTAGGAGCTCGACCACAAGAAACCTTTCACAAGAAGCCCAAGCCTGGACCCCCAGAACGTCCACTGAGTTTTGGTGTGGCCACGTCACGCTCTCCACAACAAAACCATCGAAACCCATGACACCCAGGCACCCTGGAGGCAAGCAGGGTGTTTCTTGGCTCGGGGGCGCGCAAACATGGATTAACGATCAATGGATTTGGCGCGCGGTCGCCCAATCTATGGATCGGGGGAGGTGCCCCTCCCGAAAATGCGGCTGGTGCCGCCTCGCTCGGCGGCGGGAATCCGCAATTTCCCATGGAAGCGGGACCCGTCGCTAATCCACGTCCCCTTGATCCATGTTTGCGATCGCCTGAAACAAACCCAAGACACTCTGGAAGCAAACAGGGTGTTTCTTGGCATGGGCCTCCACTGCATGCTTATGCCATCGTTTGCTCCCCAGCTCTCACGAGGAGGAGGAGGAGGAGGCGGATGAGGAGGAGGAGGGATCGGAGGAGGAATCGGAGGAGGAGGAAGAGGAGGAGGAGGAGGAGGAGGAGGAGGAGGAGGAGAAGGAGGAGAAGAGGAGAAGAGGAGGGGGAGGGGGAGGAGGAGGCGCGGACAGCGTGGCGGAACTGCGGGCCGGGACCGCAAACCAGATGTGAGGAGAACTTGAGCTCGCCGCTCTACGCGGTCGTCGCTCTCGTGCGGCTTCCAGCGACACGCGCACGCTCAGACACTGGAGGGGGGCCTGTCCAATGCTTTTCGCCCCTCGGCACGGCTTCTCAGAGGCCGCGTGCCGAGGGGCAACACAAGGCCCCCCTCCCCCAAAACTCAGACCGGGTCAAGAACCTTGGCCGTCTTTGGATGGAGATCTCGAGCCGCATATATAAGTGTGGCGGCTTGTGAGCTGCGGGTGGACGGGTGCTCTGAACGGCCTTACGCTTATCGCCGAGGCCTCGCAGATTCCCGCTGGGGAGGACAGCGAACGCAGGGCACAAGGTGCAACCCAGCACGCGACCAGACTGCTCCATTTCATGGCCGCGGGCTCCGGGATCCGTAGCCATTTTGGCTCAAGTTCGAAACCTTGCCGCGAGGCTTCGAGCTTGTCCGCAGCCGTGCGGCAGGCTCGGACGATTTCGGCGCGTGTGCCGCCCACACCTTGCGCGGGGCGCGCCATGGGATATCTCGTCTGTCTCGTCTGTCGCGATGCTGGCAAGACTTCGTGGATCCCCGACACCAACCCCCGCCAGAAGTGTAAATTTTGCAGTACTCCCTTTCCTGGCCGCTCCAGAGGACAGGTCCAAGGAAAGAAGGGAAGGAGCAAAGGCAGGCGCAATGAGCCTGTCGTGTCCCCTCCCCGTGCTCGTTTCCATGATCGTCATGATGTTGATGGTTCTGCCACTCCCCCAGTTCGGTCTTTGGATGAACGTCTTCAGGCTCCATTGGATGATGAAGTGCAGGATAGGTTTGGATCTGACTCTGGCGACGACGGTATTGGCAGCGATCGTGGTTTCTGGGCTGACTATGTCGACGACGACGTTGATGGCGGCTGTGTCGACACCAATGGCAATGAGCTCTCGGTTGCGCAGATTGACCAGATTATCAAGGCCCTGTTGGGCCAGCTGGATTCCCTCCGCCTGCTTCCGCCGACCAGGTATGTTCTCGATCAGGTTTCGAGTCTCCAGGACGAGTTGCAGCATCTCCGAGCACAAAAGTCCGACATGCTTACCGTCCCCCAGAAGCGTGCGTTCTACAAGCAGCGTCATCACTGGGCCAGTAAGAAGTTTGACAAGATCTCTAGCCAGATCCGTGAGTTCGATCGTAAAATCCTGGACCTTCAGAGCGAAAGGGGCGCCCTCTGCTCTTGTCAGGAGCGGGTTGCTCAGGATATGGCTATGTGGCAGGCTAAGTTGCAGGATCTCCCGTCGAGTGAGCCAGGTCCTGAGGGTTTCACGCCCCCAGATCTCTCTGCCGTGGCGGACGTATTCGCAGCTTCCCAGGCCGTGCAGAGAGACAAGAAGCTTGCTCAGGCGTTGCGTGACCTCCAGGGTATCGTTATGTCTGGCTATGCTCCTGTTGGTAGTGCCAGAGAGCCTCGGTCTCAGTCTGAGGAACCCAGGATGTCTGTCGACCAGCAAGGTTCCCCAAAACGCGTTGCCAGGGCTCCTCCCCGTACCTCTTCCTCACTGCCGCCTGCGCCGAAACGTCCTGCTCATGCCCCTGATGTTGCAGTTGATCAGTCGGGACAGTCAGGAAGGTTTTCGCCGTCGGCTGCCGCCGCCGCTGGCCCCGCCGACACCCCAGCTGTGGTGGAGGGCTCCAATCCCATGGGCCCGTCTGACCTTTAGCACATCGCAGACCCCGCCCGACAAGTCAACCTTCGTACAGAAGTCGCGTCGGGACTGGGTCATCGTTTCTGTGAACGTTACCTCCTGGTCTAATGCCGATATTTTCCTGGAGGCTTATTCTGATCGGTTTGATGCTGTTGTTTTTCAAGAACTCTGTCGTGCAGAAGAGGCTATTGAGTTCGCAGTCAACCGTGCTCACAAGCATGGGTTCCATGCGCACCTCCACCCCTCAGTTAGTACTCAGAAAGGCGGATTGAGTTCAGGAGTGGGCCTTGTCTCGCATTATGCCAGGTCCTTCTCTGAACTTGCATTGGATCCGATTGTTGTCATGCCCCCTCCAGAGAGATTTATCTTGAAGCTATGGCATGGGGTCGTGGATTCAGGTATCCCTGGGGCCAATGTATATTTGCACACGGGGGAAGGCGCCGAGGATCGAAATGCCCAGCTACTGATGCAGGTGGCAGCAGTCATGAAGACCATATCCACCCCCTTTGTCATATCAGGGGACTGGAACATGTCCCCCAAGGACTTGCAGAATACGGACTTCTTAACGCTCATAGGTGGGGTCATTGTCGCGCCAGACCGCCATACCTATGAGTCTGCGGGTGCCCAGTCGTTGATTGACTACTTTGTGGTTCACCCCTTGCTCTCGGCAGCAGTTAAGTGTGAGGTCTGGGAGACCCCCTGATCCCCAAGCACCAGCCTGTCGCTCTTACCCTTCGTGGGAATCTCCACTCAGATTTGGTATCCGTTTTTTCGGCGGCCGCCACATATCCCTATGATCCGTCCAGTGGGGTGTTCAAACTGCCCGCCTTCCTGGGATGCCTTTCCTGATCTTGACGCAGTCAACTCTGTGGAAGATTTGGAACGCCTTACCTCTTCTTGGCTGAAGACGTCTGCCCAGGAGTTGCTTGCCCTTTTCCAGTTGCCAGATCCGCAGGATTACACCAAGTGGGGTGAGCCTTCGTCGACCATCCAGATCTCGGTTTCCAGACTGTTTCCTGGTGGTGTGCTTTCGTCATACGAAGGAAGGCTCTGGAGGTATCTCTCTAACCGTCTTGGTACTCTTCTATTTCTTGCTGACAAGCAGCTGTGGCCCGCATATCGGAGAGCCTGCCAAGCCCTGCGCCGATATCGTCCTTCGCAGCGTGATGGTGGTTCTCCCCCCGATTGGTCGTGGTGGAGGTATGATGCCAACTGGCTCGATACCCTAGATCTGGGTTCCATAGACTGGCTGCGGGGCGTCTTGGGTGAGTCTGCATCTGCTCTGGAACGTGCAGCATCGGCGCAGAGGTACCAATCCTGGACATCATGGGCCATTCGTTCGGTCCAGGAAGGGGGTTCTGCTGCGCACCGATTCGTCAGGGGATCTATGGATTGGGCTTCCTTTGACAAGACCACCCCGAACCCAGATGCCCCAGTCGGTACGCCGCAGCATCATCTCAAGGCGCGAGAAGTAGCTTGGCATGCTATCTGGGAGCCCATGCAGGAGCACCCTGACGATCCGTGCCGAGCCCTGGATTTTCCGCCGTTACCGCCCGACTGCCCTGCATCCTTGCCTCACCCGTCCCTGGACAAGTACAGACAGATGTGTCGCAAGTACAAAGCTCGTACGTCGGTGGGATTGGACGTTATGCATCCACGTCACCATGCGCTGCTCTCCGACTCGTCTCTCCTTGCCCTGTTTGGTATCTGGCGTGCTGTTCTGCGAGTGGGTAGATTTCCTCCCGTTCTCGCTGTTTTCATCATGGATATGATCCCGAAGCCTGATGGTGGCGAGCGTACGGACGTGTGTGCGCACGTTCTCTCGGTTCTTCAGGCACACGTATGGTGCTATGTGGGCGCGATTGCATCCTCGCCCGTACGTGCATGGTGTGCGCGGTCATTCCTGCCATGCATGTGTGTGGCGCATGGGCGTGCTCACGGAGTTAGCATCTGCCAAAGGTTTGTCTGTGTTTGCACTTTTGCCCGACATCCAGAAGGCATTTGAGCAGGTTCGCCACAAACTTCTCATAAGACGTGCTAGTGAGTTTGGTTTTCATCCAGCACTCTTGCGGGTTTTCCTGTCTCTGCATCGTTCCCCACGTGTTGTCACGTTGCGGCGAATTGTTGGGGAGCGGGTCAGAGCTAGCAAGACTATTGTAGCAGGTTGCTCTTTCGCCGACCTGTTTATGCGTATTTTATTGATGCCCGAATTGGATTCGTTTCGTCAGTCTTATCCAAATATGCACCTCGGCCTCGTCGCCGACGACGTCCAGGTCCTGGGGATAGGCTCGGAGAGGGAGTTGCTCAAAATCGGCCCCGATGCGTCGCACCTTTTGATGAGCAAGCTTACCTCCTCGGCATGGTTACCGCTCTC